ACTACCCACTCACCAGTTCTCATCTTCCCACTCCCCAGCTACTCTGCGTACTACTGTTGTACTACCAAGTCGCCACTTCTCATCCCGCGACTCCGCGCACTACTAAAGTTGTACTACACAGTCGCCAGTTCTCAGCCACTACCCACTCACCAGTTCTCATCTTCCCACTCCCCAGCTACTCTGCGTACTACAATTGTACTACCCAGTCGCCACTTGTCATCTTCCAGCTCCCCCGCTACTCCGCGCACTACTAACGTTGTACTACAACATCGCCAGTTCTCAGCTACTCCGCGTACTAAAGTTGTACTACGCAGTCGCCAGGTCTCAGCTTCCAGCTCCACAGATTGCTCCGCGTACTAAAGTTGTACTACAAAGTCACCAGTTCTCAGCTTCCAGCTCCCCAGCAGCTCCGCGTACTACCGTTGTACTACCAAGTCGCCAGTGCTCATCTTCCAGCTCCCCAGATACTCCACGCCCTCCAGTTGTACTACCCACTCGCCAGTTCTCATCTTCCCGCTCCCCAGCTACTCCGCGCACTACTCTCGCACTGCCGCATCGCCAGTTCTCCGCTTCCAGCTCCCCAGCTACTCTGCGTACTAGAGTTGCGTACCAAATCGCACTCTCGCCTGTGTTTCGCGCACTCGACGCGCACGATCTCCGCAGAGGGTTGCGCGGGCAGCCGGCAAATCACACTCTCGCCTGCATTTCGCGCACTCGACACGCACGATCTCCGCAGAGGCTTGCGTGGGCAGCCGGCAAATCGCACTCTCGCGTGCATTTCGCGCACTCGACACGCACGATCTCCGCAGAGGGTTGCGCGCGCAGCCGGCAAATCGCACTCTCGCCTGCATTTCGCGCACTCGACACGCACGATCTCCGCAGAGGCTTGCGCGGGCAGCCGGCAAATCGCACTCTCGCGTGCATTTCGCGCACTCGACACGCACGATCTCCGCAGAGGGTCGCGCGCACACCCGGCAAATCGCACTCTCGCCTGCATTTCGCGCACTCGACACGCACGATCTCCGCAGAGGGTTGCGCGCACACCGGACAAATCGCACTCTCGCCTGCATTTCG